AATATTAGTGTAAATTATGCTTATAATATCATTATAGACAATTATGTTCTTTAGTTTGATAACATTATAGACAATTATGATAGAAGTTTGGTTGTGTAATATACTAAAACCAATTTATTATAGTTATTTTCCGTGGATACTCTGACCGTAAGAGATCAAAATCAAAGTAAAGCCGTCGAAGTTGACACAACCAAATAAAGAATCCAATTATTAGCAAGTATTGTAATTAAAGTCATAGATATCAAGTGTTCACAAATCAACAAATGTCATTCCTTTACGTGGGGTATGTTATTAGTTAGAAGCACTTGAAAAAACCCAAAGAACAAAAGCACATAGAAAGAGAACAAGAGGGATTAGGTGAATAGCTCTCTCTCCATTAACAGACTTATTGTGAGGAGACAGTTCCTTCTTTGAGACATCATAGGCCGCGAGATCATCGGGGCTTATAGAATCCGGCAAGAGGTTGATCAGAAACTCTTCGGATGGCCGCGAACCTATCTGTATCCTCTGCATTGCGTGGCTTATAATTTAGACTTGAAAACGATATTGTCTTATATGGTTTGTGACAACTTTGTAGTATTATATGTATAAGATCTTCATATTCATCACAGTTTCAACAATATATATAAGGTTTCAAAAGTCAAAGCGTATGCTCAAGAGACATTTAATGTTGCATTTCAAACTCCTGAAGTTATGGCTTAAGTTATGATGAATATGATCGGTGAACTTTGCTTTCAAAATTTAAAGTTGTTAAAATAATCTCGGTGGTAAGACTAAGATTCGGCTAGCCTCCCAAGAAGAGTTGAAATTTTGAAATTTGTATAAATCAAAGTTCTTTACATATTTATCCTTTTGATTTAGTCAAATTATAGATCTTGTGCAATAAATTGGATATATATTGAGTATCCAAATGTATAATTAGACTATAAAGAAAACATTTAGTAAGATGATCTTGATTAGAATCATGATTTGAAATGCCATATTCAAATCTTAATATATACATATTCAAACCAAAAGTTGCCTTCTTAATAAAAACAACGTTTTAAATTTATGTTACCTTTTGTATAACTGTTGTTTAATATGAATTTGCTGCACTAATTCTATTTGCTATGATAGGTTATGAATCAAGACATCGAGCGTTGACAAATGAACATGACTGATAAACTCTTTCGAATCTTTAAGATATGTTTTTTGCTTGCAGCGAACTTGAAGAAGTTGCACATGCATGTGAATCTTTTCCTCTAGTCAAAAAACGAATTCATAATTAAGCATTGGATTTTTCTTCTTTTCGTTATCTTTTTAGATTGTAAAAAATGCAGAAACTAATAGCAGCTAGTCACCGATTTTTCTGGCCAGTTATATTTTGCATGCATTGAAAACCCTTTAACAAAAAAAAATTATCATGCATGCATGTCTAACTTTGGTTCGAGCGTTTAAAATCTAAAGATTTTAAAATTTTTTTTTTTTTTTGAAACATTGATGAGATTTTTAAAAAATTGAAAATTTTACAAATCAACATAAAGCTTTCTGTGATTACTTTTAAAATTTGGAGAAGTCGAGACTTAAAATATTACGAATAATCGTGCTCGACTCAGTTATCTTGAACTAGCAAATACATGGAGCAATTTTTTTTGAATAATCGTGCTCGGCTCAATTACCTTGAAGGCTTGAACTAGCCATTCCTTTCTTGTGATTAAAGCTTTCTGTGACTACTTTTAAATTTTGAAGAAGTCAAGACTTAAAATTATATTTTCT